TTTCTTTATAAATGGAAAATGTCCATTGCTATATTAAATCAATGTCCAATAGGTGAGTCTAACTGTTTCTCAATTAGCTGATCAGACGGTTTTGCGATAAACTTTAAAAACATTTAATCACGTAATAGGGAAATATTTAAGGAAGTTGATTTGTATACAAATCAATTTTATTCGATATTAGTACATATCTTAACTAATACTCACACCATGCAAAATGATTGGACAAAAAAATTGAACTGTCAAAAAATATTTGATCCCGGATTTTGGACTTGTCCAAAGCCCTCAATTTGGTGAAGCACTGGGATCATTCCCAGTACTTATTACTACATTCACAAACCATACATTTCAGATTGAAGGGAAATATGATCTGGTGTTAAGGCTGACGTTTACAAACAAAAATCGATCTGATTCGAGTAACAGGTAACATCTGTATATATGAGTGTGACGGATGAAAACAACACGTGTGAGGTTGAACATACCGTTAGATAGGTACTGATGCCATCTGAATTCGGTTACGTTTTGAATGGAAATGACCGTGGTACGCAACATATGTGTCCACTGAAGTTGATTCATACGACTAGGGAATCCGCTTTCATTCCACCATTGCCAAATGTTGCAGGTTTAGACCATACGTTTACTTCCTGTGTTTGCATACTCTTGTCACTCAAACAAGATAACTTGGACCCGATAATTCAAGTCAATTAAAATTCGTCTATAGAAATCGGGAACATCAGTACTTCCCGGTGCGAACAGCCTGCAGCACGCATGGGAGCAATCTGACTAAAAGACCACCTGCAAAGCATCATAGGTCGCCTCCTTTTGACCGATAACGCATCCGTACCGCATGCGTTGTGGGCAGGTTAAGGCTGAAAACCATCAGATAGGAACACTAAACAACTATAGCAATGTGTCGAATAGGGATCAATCCTTTGCCGGGAGCAAGGGTTACTGAGTTACCGAGATGCTGTTTGCAATATATATATATATATAATGTGTTTCAGAGGCGCACAGTTATTTTGTCTCAAATGGTTAAATACCTTTGGAATGAACGTTTTTAGATGCGTTTACAGCTAATAAATCAATAGTTGAATGTGCAACTCATTAGGGCTGTGCAACCGCTACAACCTAGGTGCAAACAATGGTATTTCTGTATCTATATTTTTGTTCAGACTGCTTCAGAATTAAATGTAAACGTTATCTATACAGCTATTTTCTTTATCATTTGACCAGAGACAATGCCAACTTCTTTACCTTGTTTATTAAAAAGAATTTGGTTAGACTGTTCAGTGTTCTTTTGTGTACATGCGCTTTAGAGAAACATAATTCGGATACAAAACCTTTACCGCATCTCAGCCCACATTGAAAATATGTCTAAATTCATTTTCTAGTGACCTTCCTAACAGGTTTGTCAAACCACGCTAAAGTACTTCATTGTGTAATGTGAATGAGATTATCAGCGCTTGGGCTTTGTTGACATTTAAGCGACGAGAAACAATACATTTTACCTAGTCGTTCAGTGAAAGCAGCGAATGCTCATTTTGGTCTGCCAACGAGATCACATTAATTACCGCTTTTACTAATCTTGATGTTATCCTGACTATCCAGGAAACACAACAATCTGTTTTCGGAAGCTTGTTGTGGGCAATAAACCTTCATCATTAGACTGCAAAATCAGCTATTTAATAAGTAATTTACGTCTCGAAGTGAGACAGGGGTTTGCATAATTCCGCTTCTATATAAGAACAAAGAAAGCTCCCTCTAAAGCTCAGTGTTAGAATAAAAAGTACGAAGGAGATGAAATGAAAGCTAGAAAAGCTGATTGTGCAAGCCCACCGAATCACTATTCTCCTAAACATCAAATGTGTTCTTGAGTCAAGCATCAGTATAGTTTTAATACACGGTGTGTTGCAACAACATTATTTAGAAGATATCGACTAGATAGTTTGACAAAGTATGTTGATATTCAAAACAGCAAAATTCATGTCCCAGGAAATAAAATATTCCACCCACTCACATGTATTGAATAAAACTCATTCAAGCACTATCTGCATTCCAAAGCTCATACGATGAATTATGTCATCATAGAATCCACTGTAATTCGTCCAATGTACAATTTTATGAAAGTAAATTAAGGACTAAATCCAATGCGGCCCACTTTATTCACCGGCCAACCAAAGTACCGTTCACTGAGTGTGCACGCAAAATGCAAGAGGCTGGTAAACAAACACTCGGTGAGGTATGGTTTGAGTTCAGAACCGGTGGGTGGTAAATAAAATACCTAATTAAATAGGCAACGTATACCGCCAAAATAGGAATAGTCTACGGAATACTGTATCTCCTGTGTGCGCTAGTGAGTTCTCGTGGATTCCTTTAGTCAAATGAAAGCCAGTTTTGGATAATAACTGATTCCTATAATAAAATGCAGTCAATGCATAGTCATAATTCTGCACGCAGTCTGTCCATCGGTAACCAAAATGCGTCCGAGCACAGTTTATAATTCTACGCTCTTTCATTTTCATATTTACTTGTCAGGTTTAATGCGATTAAAGCATTATGCACCATATTTTTATCCCTGGAATTATTGGTGAGGACTTATGGATAATAAAAACGATATCCCGTTTATTTTTAGACTTTGCTACATTCTTTATTTAAAATGATACATAATGAGGGCCTCCAATGGGTGGGAAGAGAAGCAACATTTTTTTTAGGCTTTTCACAATGTCAGTGAGTTTAATCTAGCACTCTCGCGCATGAATTGAAAAATGTAATATCAGCAATTACCTGAATTAGGAGAAAACAGGAATGATCGTAAAAGCGTCAAAGTATTAAGTGGGAACACTGTGCACCCTTGATCTGTATAGTTTCATGGATACCCTTTACTTTGTCCAAAAAACTAGATATTCCGTTTCGCTTAAAATAATCGCATGAGAAATAACAAGTCTTCCGTATTCGCGAACGTTTTTAAACACAGTAACATCCGCCTATCTTAAATAAAACTAAATTTGTGTTGGATTCTTGTCAGTTATCCCAAGCTTTTAAAAAAACGTTTTCATCTGCTTCGCATTCACGTCTTAGAAATGGAACTTGCAATTGTTCGCTAAGGTCTGTTTTATGCAAGTATCTTCAGTGATGTCACAGATAAAAATAAACTCGCGGTTTGCGCACAGATAAAAGGGTCGAAGCATCTTCAATTCAATCCGTGACTGGCACGATACTCTTACAGCTTTAATGTGTATGCTGTCGAGACAATTTATTTATTTATTCAATTGCTTTTCCAGACGTCTGTTCTCATTCACATTTTGCTGAGAACTGAAGTATTTTACACATTGGGAACAAAAGGAAATGGAGTAATTATCGGCACCAATAGAAATGGTGAACACATTCAGCACAGAAGCATAATTGAAGTCTTCATTGATATCTGTAGACATCTCGTTTAAAATGGTTTTCAACAAAAGAGAATGACGCGAAGCTAATAGAAGTGATCGCTTAGACTAGTGGATTATGGCAGCGTGGGAAATAATCCGGACAAAAGGCGTTCGCACGTTGAGTAACATTGGGCAACACATTATTGCGCTCATCAAAATGCATAGCTGACACGGGCAAAACGCGATCACGCAATCTCTCCCCCCCCTCGAAATTCCTTTCAGACACCAACATAGCTTTCGTTTAACTTTTGATTTGGGTGATTCGACCATATGTAATGGGTCACCGTCAGTTCTCCTTTCGGCATGTTTTTCTAGTTAACTGTTTGACAAGGCATCAGAAGGTCATCAGAAAACCTTCCGTGCCAGGTGTACGTAGGATTATTCCTAGTGGAAAAGTATTTTATTACTCGACTTTTGTCAACTCCACCTAGCGCAAATACGAAGAAATGCGTGCCATTTAAAAGTTACTCGACCGACACAGAACATCGTTTTCTAGTAGAAAGTATAGTTCGCTATGTTTACGCATAAACGCTCTACAATTTGAGAGAGAGTTCCCATAAACATATTGTATGTTGCTGCACGTCGCACACCATTGCTCTCTAACTGTCTGTGGTCAGCCATTATTTGTGACACTGTATTAGTATACGCACTTGGTGCGAATTTCATCTCACCTCGGTCGAAGAAGTTGAAGTGCAGTAGCAGCAGCAGCTGACTCACAGCAGTGCACAATTGACCAAATTTATTAAATAGATTTTATGTTTTGTGGAACTAGAACCATTCACTCGAATAAATCGAGTATCGAGCGTAGGAACTGGCAAACCATCAAATTTACCAGAATAGGGAAAAGCGATTGAAGCTAGTTGGGAATGGCTAAAATAGGAAGTTTTCCGGAATCGAACACTGAGCCAGTTAAATGTTTTTATTTAATTCACGAATGTATGGTTTCTGAAACACTTTGATTTACCGTGCGAATCATCTGTATGCAATATAAATAAGATTTCATGTCTAGTCCAATTTTTCCGAATGAATCATCAAAGACTGAACGTATTTTGCTGCGACCAACATCCATGAATTCAATCGAATTTATTTGACCACAACAATTAAGTGAAACGTACTAAACGGGGAAGGACGTAATCACCTTTTCTCCAAAGTAAACACTGAGGATACTATCCAATTCAATAAAATGCCAATGAATCCAATCGAAATTGTGATTTTCCTGGCAAAATGTGATCAGTTTGCTGAATGTTATATTGCTCCCTCAATTGTTGCATTTCAAGCATATTTCTAAGCAACCATCTCATCGTCAAAAGGCAGTTATTATTCTTTTCAACTCTTTCCGAAGGTGGCTCAGTTTATTGGCTCACTCTTCATGGGGAGTGTAATGAATTCTACGTTTTGTAATCTCTAACTGATAAGTTTGTCAAAATTGCTTTTGTGAACCCGTACACGAATAGGATTATGGGGAGTGATCAGTGTTACTCACTTTATTCAGTAACGTCTTCATCTTCTTCATTCCAACCCTCCACCCCGCCATGGCGTCCGCTCCCTCTCTCTCTCTCTTACTACGTGTTCCAAATGTCCCGTTATCACAAATGCTGGGATTCGCGGTCGTGCATGCACACACCCACACACACCGGATCGGTTACTCCTCAGACTGATCGAGTTGGTCTGATTATCCAGCTAATCTTGTTTACCATCATCCTGGTTGGAAATCTGAGCGTGATCATTGCCTTGCTTTCACGCAATGTAAAAAACCAAATGCGTCTGTTCATCATCAATTTGGCCGCATCCGGTAAGTTTACTTCAATTCTGAAGATGTAGTGGCGGTAGTTCTGAGGATCGTTCAGGATGTGGTGTGCGTGTGTTTGACCGGGACTAGTCCAGAAGGAGTATTTAGATTGAAGGGTCCAGTAAGTACGCAGTGGACAGAGCTGTGAAATTGATCCCAGCGACTCCAGTCCGAATGACACGTGATTGGTGCAATCCGATTGGCGGATTGTAATCAGTAAAATCTGACGGAGTGCCCCAGAAACAGAACAGTGTGCGCAACGATAACAACGTTCTGAATAACGTTTGATTACTTGAGCGTGTATCAAATTTTCTTATCCAATCTAAACAGTGATGGTCCGCATTATCGAAAGCAAACATCCGGTGATTCTCGTCTGCGTTCACAGACAAGCTCTTCTGGCGTCTCTTTTACATCACATTAGGACGTAATCAAAATTGCCACTTACCTGTGAACAAATAAATATCAACGAAGTACCAAACCATGACAATAACAGTAATAATGATAATAAGTTTAATAAACCCCGAATCTAATAATCTTAGATAAAGCTGGAATACTATTACATCCAAATGCTGAAAATGAATTACGTTTCATCTGACAAATATGCACATCACTGAGGTTAATCGGAATAAGTCTAACCGTTTGAAATTGAGCCAAAACCTCACCTTGAGTGAGACAGATATAACGCCAAAATGGAACAAAAATTGTTCCCTGATCGGGTAGGTGAACCCCAACTGGTGCTTATCGTTGAACAGAGTTGCACGGAGTTGCTTTGATTGATTAGCTGGCTTTCACGCACAAGGCAAAAACACACTTCACGCTTCAAGAATGGCAAACAGATTTGTAGTTCAGTGTAGTGAGCACAGAGATTCATTATCCACATTCACTTAAATATTCATTTAAACAATGGTAAACTGATCATTGCATTCTTTCCTTGCAGACTTGTTCGTTGCCATCGGAGGTACTCTTGCACAGATCATCGAAAATATAACCATACAATTTTACGCACCACCACCTGTGTGCAAATTGGTGAAATATATGGCGGTAGGTGATTATTCAATTTTATAATGATGTCGTCCGAGAGTTCATCGCTATTTGACCTGAGATAAGGTATTATTTGAATACCACTGATGAAATAGCACGTTTTCTGATTCAGCTTAAAAGTATTTTACTAGAACTTCCTGTAACAACAGTGTTTTTTTCTTGCAGCATATGGCACATTGGACGTGGACAGAATCCGGGATGTTACCTTAGCTGGGCGTTACTTTTGGAACACAGCCTGTTTTTCAAACAAACCCCTCGATTTTGCAATTTGATACAAAATTCAAATTCTAGAGAACCAAACACCTGACAATAAGTTCCTTCTTGACCCGACTGCAATTCGATATACTCCTAAGGATTATCAGTGAGTACTGCAAACTGTGCTGGGAGAACTGCTGTAGGTTGCGCCCAAAAGCTTTCACGATAGAGATCAATCCAAATGTTTAGCCATGAACCCACAAATGTTCGAAGCTCGTCTTATGTCTCCCAGGGGATCCACGTTTGCAGAGGATTATGCAATTGTTATGTGACGTTTGAAATGGGAGTATTAGCACACGATATGTTTCGAATAAATGAAGAAAACAGGTTCCAATGGCTGGTCTTTACCCAAAACCTGATCTTGATTAGGTTGCTCATCGAAACCGATTATCTTGAAGTACTACGCATCCAACTGATTGATGGTGTTTTGTAATTGAGCTCACAGCAGTCATGAACGTTTGATGGAGAATAATTTAATTGAAAGATGAATTTAGAATTTATTGTTATCTTAGTTTTACTCTTCTCTAGATATTTTTTGAATGCACGCCTTGGATAGGTCCGCAATGTAGTTCACAAACGCCCATTTATAAATTTGGTCAATTTTTCTCGGGTGGTTACGGTTCGCTAAGCCAATCATAGAAAGAATGTTGTCATTATCTTAAAGTAATTTGTTGTTGTTTAGGCTGACGCATATCATACACTCTGTAAATGTTGCACCCATTTTTTTCGGATCGGTTTAGACTGCAATAACATATTCCAGCTCCTTTGCGTTGATTGTGCTCAGTATCGACCGAGCAGAGGCAGTGTGTCGCCCTCTTCGAGTCTCTTCCTCCGGGATCAGCAGCCGTGAGTAGCTTAGATTTACCCAATTGTTGTCCCTTCTATGCTGTACATCACTTCCCGATAAAAAACGGTACGATCGAAATGTTGTTTTCTAAGGTGTCTCCCTGGTGGTCATAGCCTTCCGTTTGTTCTTTGTGGTCTTCAGAAAACAAACAAAATAGATACCGATTGAGTTTGTTGTCTGTGTGCGGAAAATCAAATGAGCCCCATCTCATTATATTTATGGCATGAAACGAGCATTATGATCGACTATCGTTGGTGGATGTCGTTCTTCATTTGAAATAACCCAACAACAATACTACTTCCGCGTACGTAAGACCTTCAAAGTTCAGAGGCGATCAGAAGGTGAATCTAAAGGGGTAAATAACGAACTCCTCCGTGATATTTTTACAAATCACGCATGGACGTCACCTAAGGCAAGGTTGAGTTTACCAGTTGAGCAACGAAACCACATCTGAAGTACCACCTTTTTCCAAATTATTTACCCACTCAACTTTCACCAGGACCCATACCATGTAAGTTGCCACACCTACCAGGTTGTCCTAGAATACCTACAGCCCAAGAGTTTAGATCTGATTTTCATTGTGCCGTATGCTTATGGGTTACACTCTTTGGTTAAAATGTGAAGACTTAGAGACGAGAGGGACTATTCTCAATTTTTTTTCATCAGATAAAATAACCTCCTGTGATTAGAGCAGAATTTGTTCAACTGATTAGTGTTCATGGTAGGTGAACTATTCATATTACCACATTTGTGCTTGTCAACCAGTACCTGTCCGGTTTGCTCTGATTAGAGTGTGAAGATTAATAACGTAATTCGCCTGCATGGTTCGGATACCAAGTAATGCTTTCTGTACGTTGTGTGAGTGAGAATCGTTCTTAACCAGCTTAAGTGCTCCTTATTGGGCTGACCACTATCGATGGTGGATAACTGAATATAAGTATTTATATTCGAACGGTTGCTCAAACTTTAATCTGTAATGAAACTTTTGAGTATTTTTATTTGGTTTATAAACGGTCCTCTAATCACCTCATGGAAAATGCTTCATGATACTTGAATGAAGTATATTGGTTTACACAATATATTCGGAGATAATTCTGTCACAGTACACGTGAATACCGCCATTGAAGGAATCGTTAATATGAGCAAAAAATACATTTACCCTAAAGTAAAATGTAGCACGAGTGACGAGTTACGTAACATTGAGAAAATTATTGAACTTTGTGTTCCAAGGGAGAGATGAACGTGCAAGCCATTCTGCCTGCTTGCGCAGTTTGAGACCTCAGCGCACATGCGAAACTCGCTTTGGAGGTAGTACAATGCATGTTAAAACATTTCTTGAAGTTTTGATAACAATCATTCTCCTAAAGATAGTGCATACCAGATACCCTGATGGATGTGCATTGGTGAATAATGTGATAATCGCACACGCAATGCTACTCATCATCCACAGTCACGCTGCAATGGGTACGACAGTCCGATTAAGTCGACTATTATCCATTATGTCAAATTAAACGGCTAGATATTCATACTTCAACTGATGGAAATACTCGAGTTTTCCGCGAATTGTTAGTGAATAGTTACGTTTTTGTCCGAACATTGCAGAAAACTGTTGAAGGCTATAGTCGCTTTATGAACACGATTACTGTCTGTGGCCAAGCATCGAATAGTTATCCGTCTGTAACAGTCACCCTTTAATGACACCTACATGAAACCCTTGGCTATACTAAGCTCCATCGCGTTTGGTGTTCTTATGAAAGAATGTTTTCAATAATGTGCGTAACAAACATGCCTATTTTTCCGAAGGTGATATGATTACCTCCCTCTCTGTGATACGGTGGTTTGATGTTTGGATCAATTTCATTGAAACCCTGGACACTTGTTTCTCCATCATCCCTATCATTACTGGTGAAGAATGAGCAAAACGCATATTTAATCACTTCAATGGAGAACTGGGACATAAGGAAATTTGCTTCTATAAAAAGATTGGTTATCTGAACTTGGGAAAACCGATAAAAATATTGAGGTTACGTGTGAAAACCTTAACAGCCGCAGCCTCTCTCCTGAAAAAGTTTTCTGCACAAAGTAAAAGGGATCTGAAAAATATTCTTCAAACAATATTATTATCCCCATTGGTGCGTAAAGAAGTGGAAACACGAAGAAATTTCCCTTTAAAATATCGCTTCAGGCATTTAGGTGCACATTTCGACTAGTCAATAGATTCACAAAACGCGGAATTTATAACATTTAGGATTATGAAGCCAGAGGCTTGTGCAAGAAACGTAATCTGATTGAAAGTTGCTGCAACAATGATCGTAAAAGGGATCGCCCCATAGTCCTTGTTTGCCACGATTTCACAAACTTTGTATTCATTCTTAACTAACATCTTTCATATTGTTTCCACTTCACACATTTTTGCCTTGCTTTTCCCTATCCATTTATTGTGACCCCATAGTTGATTGCCGAGATCACATTTTGCACATAGACACAATGGTTCACAACCGGATAAGGCCCTGTATTCATCAGTTAACTAATCGTAGTATGTATGCCTGAAGAGTTATATCGAAAATAAATTTCTTCCACTGTTTGATTATTATTAGTAGTACTGCAACCATGATCATTAGCAAATCGTTTTTAAGCTGATTGCAGTCCTAATGGATCGAGTATTAGAACTGCAAAGTCTGCACTTATATTTTTCAAGAAGGGCGTAAGGGGTCTTGTTGCAAAACTGCCTTCCGCATGCGTACAAGCCTGATCCTCACTTGCGTGATTGAAATAAACACGTCTGTGATAGAAAGCACTAAACAGAAGAAGCGACAATGAAAGTTATTTCTCTTTGAAAACCGATATCTACATTGGTGCTCCCCAAATAAACTTTAAATACTTCATGATGCTTGCAACAGGTCATAAACAAATAATTGACTGACATAAGCCGAATACACCGTATGATGTAAAATTAGTTTTCAGAACTTGGAAACAGCGGTTCCACAAAGCATACAGTAAAATGAACTAGTATGTCATGACGAAACATACAGTGATATAGCGTTGTGTAGAAAGTTAACGTCCATTTTCAGGCAAACAGATCACCAGTTCGATAATCCACGTATTCTAGGATACAAATTACGTTCAACATGTACAATGTATCAACAGGTGTGATCAATGTAGCCCACAAACCAGGTAGCAGCACAGAACCGGATCCAAGACAATCAAGTCGTATGGCACAATCAGATCAAAACCTAANCCTAAGGGACATCAAACGGAACCAAGTGTTCGAATGGGGTGGAACTACCAATCACAACCACTCAGTCTATGGGGCTAAGGGTTGTTGGTTGTTAATGCACGTAGGAATTTCACACTGAATACGGCATAAACAAGACTGGAGTGAGCTAAATGATAAAGATCATATAGATCAAAAGAAAGGAAACACGGCCAAGCACAGAAATCGGCACGGAACAATTCTACATAAACCCTGAAGCGGGTCGATTCATGTTCATTTACTTCAGGGCGGGGGAGAGGCAAACACAGATCACGAGTTCGAACTAAACACAGAGTTCCTGTTATCCACATGTCATATAAATGCATCACACTGTCTAGATTTGAGTTAGGGGATAGAAATAAAAGCACAAGCACTGACAGGTGTAGTGTGAATGGGTTTGAACATGTTACTTGAAATGCATCAAGTGGGTTGTGGTCGAGGGGATCGTCCGGGGACTAAATATTCTATAGTCTAGGAGCAATGATTCAGAAATAGTTCAGTCGGTAACTGCATTCACCATAATGCCGTGTGGGAGATAACACGAGGGAGGAGGAGTAGGAGAATCAGGGAAGAATGCATAGTTGAACGAATCCGGAATAAATTGGCGTATTGGACTTCTCCAAAATGGGTAAGCTGTATTTCCATCAGTTCGACAATGAAACTGAATTTGCTGGACGCATCTTCATGTCTATCTCCATGATATCTATGATAAAGGCAGAAGAAGCTTTCACAGATCTCGAGACATTATAATCGGCTTGGACTAAAGCTTACCGAATTGACATCCATCAAAACTCAAGCCTCAACCTTTTTCGCTAATAAATATTACAACTAACCACGCAGTGAACTTATGGAATTTTTCCTTTCTCTTCCAACAATCTTCCTTTTTTTCCAATATTGCTCTATGATTGACAAAAGCACTTCAACAGAGATAGACAGTAAATGTGAAAATCAGCGAACAAGTAAGGTGCAAAATCGACTTTGATTGGCATTACAAGGGTTCACAGTGCTTTTTTTTCGTTGACCTTGTCCACAGAAGAAAGCTTCATTTCATTGAGAGCGAGAGACGAAGTTCCTCCTGCAGGCTCAGCTTGCTCGTACTTGCAAAATGTTTTGTATTCCAGAAGCATCCTTTGAATGCAAACAGAGTTGAACCTCATGTGTTGCCCACTACCCTTTCCGTTTCAGGTACAAAAGCCCGGATAATGATTTCTGTGGCTTGGCTGGCAGCCGCACTTTGCGGAATTCCATCGCTCATTCTAGCTGAAAAAGTATCCGAGACGTGCCGTTTCAATTTCAAAGGAGTGAACGTTCAGGTATGTTTCTCGTCAACCCCGTTGTCAGAAGTGATCGACTCATTCAAGATAAATAATACGAAGACGCCATTTTGGATGATATGAGCCCTCGTGATTATATTACTCTGTTTTTGCTTGCCGAGGGGATTATCTCTACAAAAATAAACAAGTTCGGTACGGAAAGTGAAGTGCGTGCTACTACTCTTTTAGGCATGCCCTTAACGAAGATCTGTGCATGCGTATGATAAACACGTTGTGAGTCCGAGGTGCCAAAACCCTTCACATGTGACTTGATCGACTCACATGTCTCGGCTAATTTAATTGCTGATTAGAGATCGAGATTTTATGGTCAAATGATAAACACGACGGTTTTCCAAAGGTTTTGAGCTCCACCCCGTTTTGATCCCAGTCACTGTCCATCTGCATGCAGGATAACCATCAGACTTGGGATGTAACAGTATCCAGGTTGAATAATCAGAACTGATGAGGAGCGGATCACTACTGACCTTAACCGATCCCGAACTTAAATGGTGAATTGCATTTAGACAAATATCTAGAAACTCAAAAAACTCAAACAGCTCTCTATTTGGTTAGAATATATTATTCTGTTATTTTTAACTGACCATTCGCCTGCAACACGAACGATGTAGACTCTCAAGGCAGTGGCTTCTCTGCAGAGGTATTGACCAAACTGATTTCTGATTGGTGTGAGTGAATGTGCTTGGTCAAACATAGCAGAAGAAATAAATGAGCTAAGCATCGGGAACCGTTACCGGTATATCGAACCGGACAAGCTGAATCAATGTAAATAACCATGATTCCTGCGATCAGATTGTGACCAACACAATGAATGACCTTCATGAACCGAACAGTTTGATTTTAACCGACAGCGGTCCCGGAGAGCGGATTTTAGAGGTCGGTGATGACAATGCTAACTTTTGTTGGGTTGCTCCCTTTCACAAAATGAGAGCTAGCTTTTCCTTCACAGGGTCCTTTTTTGCAAAAGACGTTTTTTCCTTGCTAGAAGAATGGTTAAAGTGCACACGTCCGAACGTCGCCAGAGTACATTATGATGGAGTGCGACCTCATAACCGTGCACGACCTGAATTAGTTTTACCCTACAACCCACTCCCCCCCCCTCCTCCTCCTCCTCCAATCGCCGCGGGCTGGTGTGAACGAACTGTGTGTGTGTGTGAGAGAGAGAGAAAAGGCAGTTTCATAACCATCACCTGACAAAACCCGTTATTCTCTACCAACTGATCTATTCAAATGTCACGTAGCACAGCAAATTTTGACGTTGCTAAGACACACGGTAAAACGTGTATTCCATTGTGATCGTGTTAGCATAATTTGTCTTCGTAGTCCTTTAATGTGAACTGCATATTGACATGGGGGTTAGGATATTTTAATAAACATAAGCTGTCCATCCCGGCATAGCAGTTTATTTATTAAACCCAACATACAACTCTAAGGGATGGATGAAACAGTGCTGCATGATTTCATGAGGTTTGATTACTTCTACCATTACCACTAATTTTAATAGCAATTACATCAGTTGCTCCAATGACAAAAGTTTGTCTCCCATTTTAAACAAAAGTGGCATTTACACTGTGTTTTGAGTCTGCTATTGACTTGCGAATCTCGTTCAAAATAATCTTCCAGACAGACTGTAACGACGGATTTGTGCAACCACGAACGGATAAATTTTCGTCAGGTATTCCAGAAAACCCATCTACAATGCCCACAATTGCACTCAATTTGTACATTTGATTGAATGATCTTTAATATGTAAGAACAAGACTTTAAATAATGGCTAAACAGTAATAACGCATTATATGTATCCATATGGCATTTTCATCATGATTGTAGTTCCTGCTTATATTTCATTACAACACCAACCAGTCTCAATGTGTGAATTCTGCGAGTTTCCTATTGGTCCTCCTACTTATATATCAGTCAGAAACACGGAGATGTATTGATACCTTTTGCTCATTGATAGTACATGATGATTTGCAACCAAATACTTGGTTTATTGACAGGGGTAAATCATTTTGGAGAGGATCAAAGATTGGGTTTGTCAGAAATTCTCAACACGATCCCGGTTATCGAATCTGACCTCATCCCGGTCTCACATGGATTTCTAGCCCAATGGTTAGAAATACATATTTTTATTCTTTGATTAATCAACTATAGAAGTGCATTCTATGTGAACACGTAGTGTGGATATTAGAATGACAAATGTGAATCGATTGTATTCGTCATCATAACATCACAATGACCGATAACTGGTCCGTCTCTGATGGTCTCAAACAGCGCTGTTTGTTCAGGATTAGAAGCGAAATAGTATTTTTCCATTTCTGCCAGAACATCTGAAGCGTCTTGTTACGTTTCTATCCATCATAGGACAACACCATCATTCTTCCAAAAAGGGACAAGAGTAAGGTATGCCCCTCTTATTTTAGTTAGGAATTATCTTCGTCTAGCCCGTGACCATAAGGTCCAACATTTAGGCTCCATTGATGTGAGATGCGCCGAACGCACACTGGATGAGCGGTTAATTCAAAATTATTCCAAACTTTTGATTTACTCACTAGGCTTACTAATTCATCAGCAATCAACTGGTCACGGACATTATTACAGAGAAACCCACAGGTCGTGTTTTTGAAACCTGGTAAATAGTTTCAAATGGTATCAGAGAAGAACCTATCTTCCTGTAGCTAACTTTCCGGAAACTGGGATTACATTTGTGTTTTCACCGACCAAGCTTGTGAGATTATTCATTATTATTGGATATACCGAAATACAATGATTGATGCCGATTGCTTCTTGTTTCATTACCCCCTTGTCTGGCACTTTCATCTACTTCCGCATATTATGCACCTCCACAGACATACATGGTTGCTGTGGCACTCACAGTATTCATCCTACCCGCTTGCGTTATTGCCACCTGCCACGTGCTCATGGTGGTGACAATCTGGCGCGCATCAAAACTTCAGCTGACCACCCCAGGCAGTGGTCAAGGCGAACGCAAGTCCATTTCTTCCCCAGGCTTGAATGTCGATGCCGGGCCGAAACGATCCAGGCTAGCACTNGTAGCACCATTCACAACAGTGCAACTAGCGGAGATACACTACTTCAAAAATCCTCGGTGTCCGCCCAACATCCGAAAGGTGGGTGTATCTCTCGAGCGAAAGTGAAAACGGTCAAAATGACCTGCGTGATTGTTACCGGTGAGTGTGTCACGTTATGAAGTTTCTTTAATAAGTGAATTATCCAATTACCTTGACTAAAGTTCTGGTGCAGCAACATCTTGAATACTAACTTAGAGTTTCCTTTATGCAAGTTATGCATTCGCAATTTGTCAATGGTGACTAACTCATAGAGCAAAATTACTGAACAGCATGCAGTTTCTTCATTCATTTCAGTAAGAGCCTCCAAATGAACCTGTTAAGCGTTCTACAAGTAAAAATTTACCCCTTATGGTCATGGCGATAAATCAGTCTCTGCAACAGGAATACATAAGTTACGTTGTACCTCGCCTTAGCAGGCAAAGACGTCACTGTATAGACCAAGCCTAGCCTGAGGATTCAGCATCAGGAAGGAGACGAAACATGTAGAACTTTATACTGATAATCCTGAGGGACAACATGAACAAAGTTGGTAACAGTTTCTCTTGATTTGGTCAAACATGTTTCTTTTCGATTAGGCGACAGATTCGGTAGAACCGATCGCGTGAGTTAAGTCGTCTATTGAGATTAGCCGATCACGGTAATTAATCTAAATGTGTGTGCACCCCCGCACCGCCCGTGTGATGTGCAATGATTATAAATGCTATTGACCGATCCAATCAGTCAACTTCAAAGGCGTCTGTTGTGGGTGAGATGAACCTGCCAAACGTCACCGCATGCAAAAACTGTTTTCAAACACTGGAAGAATGATCGTGGATTTGATATTGTATCACGCTTGCTGTGGATAGCAAAGGTGATTAATCACGTCTCACTCAAACTATAAGGCTCACACGCAATGTGATTTGTCCTAATTATATATGTGAATTCTTTGTGCCTATGGCAACTAACTGAGTTGTTGCGGTATTCAGATACGCATGGGGTTGTTCAAGTAACTGGTCAAACAGGCTGCATCCACTGGGCACTGTCTTCCTCGAAAAAAAACTAGAAACAATAAGGGCACAGAAATTCTATTTACTCAGACATTTTATGTTTTAAACCGATAACTCATTACCACCAATGTTTTGCATGGAACCATCCAGACAGTATAGACAATTGCCTTGAAGACGGTTTCATATATAACTTAATGTTATCAACGGTTATTATCATTCTAAACCTGTTATTATTGTTTCTTCAACTTATATGAATATACAGCCATTCTGAAGATAAATTAAGCGCTCCCAAATGTCCTAATTCACATTCCCGTTCCCATATATTAAAAGCACTCAGACAAAAACACTCATGATACATTATCGTTTTATCTTCATATACCAATCACATGGTTCATGCATATATATAAGCATATGTAAATTGTTTTTACAAAAAGTGGTCATCTTAGTCAATTCGAGCTTCTGAAACTAGTAGAAACGATCGTTTTTGGCTTAGTTCTCTTGGAGCATGTTCCATGTACATTACGCTGAAACCCGTCATTCAGTTTCTCAATGAAAAATCACTTAAACGTGTGCTTCTTGAATAACGTGCAGTCACACTGGATTCCGACCAAGAACAGATGAGCCTTCAAAATAGTATGATCACAACAAAAATATAACCGTTATTTACCTTTAATCTTTTTCAGTGTATATAGTTTGCTGGTGTCCATTCATGGTATGGAACTTAGTGAACACTTACGTGAATTTTTATGAAACCGCTCCACATCTTTCCAAATATACCCCGGTTATCCAGGTGAGTGAGATCCAGTTTTTTTATATTGTTAGCATATTTTGAAATCTATATATTCTAATAGTTACCTTGTACAAAAATGGCGCTGCAGATTTAACTTCATCAGTTCCTCAATCTACGCGACTAACACGAGGGCATCTGAGAATGGTAAAAGTGGATGTGTTGGGATTAATTACTACCCGAAAGTTTTCGTG